TCCCCTCCCCCCCCCGGGAGGTGCTCCAGCCGGTAGAGCTGCGGGGGGGCTTTAGCACCGCAGCAAACCCTTCTGTGATTTGGGAACGAGTCTCAGGCTGGACAGACTATCAGGGCTGCCAGGTATTTTTTTTTATTGTCCAGCTGCAAAGCTCAACTGAACTCTAGGGAACAAGAGAATGACCGTATTTCTTCCAGAATGTCAAAATCAGCTGTATTTCAAACTTTCCCTCTCTCATCCTTTCTAGCCCAATTATCAGATATGCCTGTGGAAAACCAACAGGAGTCTCTCTCACACTTGAAAACAGCAAATGTACCTCCAGAAAATTATTTATGTTGAAGTCAATTTCAGCAGAAAGATTGTCAACATTCAAAAGGAAACAAACAATCTCTGGCAGAAAGACAAAACAGCCACTATTAAACAAGAAAAAAGTTCTATATAGATTGTTGGGTTTTTTTCAGAAAAACTTTCTAAGGTTACTAAGTCCAACTTGTTTAATCTAGAACCAGTATCCCACATTGGACTGGTAGTTCTGTGGGGTTGGCAATGGACTTTGGAGAAAATCAGAGAACTGTAGCACACATGACAGGGTGTACAGTGCTGTATGCAGGCAAAGAGTGATCAGGATTTTCAAATTATATGCACAAATACACATAACAAGCTTGCTTTATCTTGACTAAATGTATTTCCATTTTAAACACATGAATTTGTTCTTCACAGTCTGCCTTACAATTCAGCCTGTTTCCAAGACCAGTGTTTACCCAGCCAAACTTATGGAGGTGAGGTTATCCATTCCTGAAACACCTATACAGTTGGGTTCACCTTTGGGAGACAGCTTGGCATCTCTTCCAACAGAGGAACAGTCTGAAACTTTCTTCCACTTCCCTTTCCTGTGCAATGGCCAGGATGGTAATTTCTTCACAATAAAGTGCTCTCTTACTAAGGCAATGACTTCCTAGTAAAATGACAACATTCAAATTTCTCTGCACTCTTACAGGCAGATAGCTTAAGCTGTCCCATGGCAGAGCCACCTCCATAACAGGAGCTGTGCCAACAGCACAAACCATGGTGATAAGGATAGGAAAACTGAGGCCCAGTCTCTAGGCAGTGTCAGGAGAGCTCTCATGGACCCTGCAGAACTTAAAGTCCAAGCCCCAATTTTTCCCCTCCGAGTACATTATAAAAACCAAAGTATTTCATTTAGAAAAGATTAGATATATATTACCCAGCTGCAACACCTAAAAGAGCGATTTGGTGCATTTTTAAGGATAAAAATTCCACTTACACCTCAAAATCCTGTGCATTAACAAATCCTGTGGTGGGAACTGCAGCTCTATAAGCAACAATCGATATGATACCCGTTCTGGACAATCTACAATCACATCATGTCTCAAGCAGCTGTTTAAGATTAAATTTTAAAAGCCACTGAAACCCTACCAAGCCTTCTCCTGTGGAAGCTACAGCTGCATTAAAATTAAGTCATTCTTCCTTGCAGTAATATTTTCAGCAACTAAATAACTATTTTTTAAATCATCCTTCTCATTTAAATTATGTTGGTTTTGATAATCACTATTTTAACCCCTTTCAAATATTTAAAATAATTTTTCTCATAAAAATCACTCAGCTTTAGCTGTAACTTTGTTTTCTTTTAAGTTGTGGAAATAATACAATTAACTACAAAAAAGGGCATATTTTGACCTTTTTGCCAAGTAACATAAAGGAGAAGAGAAATTACTTCTTCTCTCTTCGTTCCATATATTTGTGTTTCATTATTTTTGCCATGATAGCTTAAATTTCATACAGCTCTTGGAAATAGCTGATTTTTTGCCACTGCATTAACATCTTAAAACCACAGCAAACGTGCTCTGCTAAAACATTTCTTTTTACTTGAAAATGTATTTGTCAGACAAATTCACTTCCAAGTTACTCTAAATAACATCTCAAATTATGAAAGTCTGTGTCTAGATTAACTTCATGCCAATTTATGTTGATTCTATCAATACAGACACAGAAGAGCAATTGCATTGGGACAAGCTTTTTTATGAAAACATATAAACAACAATAAATAAGCTTTTTCCCAACCTTATAAATTGTTCTATGATTAATTGTACCTCTTATAGTAATGATTGCAAGCAAAGCAAAACTTACTCTAAAATAAAATTCTTCATTCCACTTTGGATTCAGTGTCTGTAAAAGAAATAGACATATTTACACACTGAAATTCCTTTATGTTTGCCATTTTGTTATCACCAAAATGTGCATGCAAGTGGTAATTTTCCATGAAAAAAGAAAAAAGCATGTAAAAAAAATAAATATTGCCTTCAAATTATTTAGACATTCTCTACCGAGTAAACTAAATATGGGAGGATATTTGAGTCAGATGATCCTAAAATAGATGTTAGGTATAAATAAGATTCTATGAGTAAAAGGCAAATCACTGAGACCTAGAGAAATAAAACCAGAAGACATTTCATTCTCAAGATTTATTTAAACCCAGATGAAAAAAAGTATGTATTTTTTAAACAAAAGGTCAGCTTGAGGGCTACAAAGACAAGGACAGACTGATACTACAACTCAAACAGGAGAAAAAAAAGAAGAAAATGAGAGGTTATTTCCTCTGAATAGGAGTAATACTCTTCCTAATCTCCCTCAAAGCTTGTGGAGGATTTTAATTTTAATAACGTGAATAAAATTTACAGAATAAAATATGCATTTAGATTGCAATCTGAAGAAAACTCAAGCATAAATGTATTAAAAATATATTAGAACTATGAACATAAATAATTTGGGCACCCTAAATTGGGCTAAGTTTAAAAACAAGTATGGTAAGTCCAATGGTTTTGTTTTCATGCCAAGTCATTCCCTCATTCTCTCACATGGCAGAGATTTACCAGAAGAGCTGTCAGCAAAAATTGGCTCTACACTCACCAAAATTTTGCATAGCATAGAGGGAGAATCTTGTTTATCTGAACTCCTTGATAATGATACCATACATTTCAGTGTCCAGGCCAGAGTGGCTCCCACTTCTGTGTTTCTCTCCAGGACACAGCGCAGTCTTAGGGTATCTCACTGTGCCTCGTACAACCACAGCACCCTGACAACACTGCAGACTCCTTCCCCTGGAGCTGCACCTCAGCCCAACACACATGTAACCAATTATCAATGAAACCAAATGCTGAAGAGTGAAAATCCTGTTCCAGAAAATATAAGGGGCAAAAGGACAAAAGGAAAGAGAAGTCTAAAAAAAGATGGAACTCTAAACCTATACAAACAGTTATGCAGGTAGCTAACAGCTCTCTCAGAACAGTTTTGCTTGTTCATCCTAAACAATCCTGTGACAGGGCAGGAAAAAGTTTCATGCAAGAAAAGACCACTGCAAAGGCCAGATGAAAGTAATAAAAAGAGTGTAGGTGAAGGGTAGGGATAGGGGGCAGGCAGAAGCTTTCAGCTTTTCTGCCTTACGGTGCATAAACATATTCAGTAAAAAAAAAGTAGTAAGAAAAAAAAAAAAATGTTACTTCAAAAAAAACCCTTTATATTCACTAAATGCAGCTGTTACTGGCAAGAGAGGTTCTGTGTAATTTTAAAAATTAAGCATGATCTTAAGCCAAATTTAAGGGCACTACTGTCTATCAATAAGGCATTTATTTTGAATGCTGCTTAACCAAAATAAAAACTTAAAGAAATATCTGATGTTTTAGGCAGCACAATTATGGTACGTGCCCTGGTAACCAGCAGAAATTTCTTCCACCTTTACAAGTCAGACAATTAGTAGGTCAAGTAAGAAAGTACAAACACTGAAATCCTAGCAAAGGAGACAAACACTTGTAAAGGAAGGCTCCAGAAATAAATGCATGAACAACTTCATCAAGGATATTAGCAGCAAAACAACAGCAAAAAGGCTCATCAGCCACGTCCTAAAAAGGGCAAGTATTGTACAGATAAAGAACTGCCAAGAGTCAAGCTGAGTTAGATCTTCCACAGGATATTAGAACTAACACAAAGGAGGTTTTTCAACCCCATAAATAAAATGAGAACACGGAAAGAAACGATGCTACTAAACAATGAAGCTCAGTGGGGAGACTAAGCCTAAATTACGTTTAACATTAGATTTGGGAAAGGTAGAACAACCGAGAGGGACCAGAATGAAGACAGTCCTGAGAGCTCAGCACAAGCTGACGAAACTGGATAACCTTCATCCAGACTTCTTAAAGAATTGACAGATGAAATCACAAGCCTAGCAGCAG